TGCATTGAATGAGTTAAACAAAGCAAGCATTGAGCAAAGAGGAAAAACCCTAACTAATGATGAAAGAGAAAGCATAGTCTTAATTAATGATGAACAAAATTCCATATATGAGAGTTCACAAAGATATACAATTGATTCCCCAACAAATAACAAGGTTTAGTTCACCATATTCATGGTGAACCTAGATGACAAAATGAAAGAATGAAGGATAAACCCTAAAAGGTGAAGAGGTAGCCTGAGCATCCAGATCCCCTTCAAAGGGGTGGAAGAGAGATGTTTGCTTCGTTTCTGCCAAAGATACAACCCTAGGACGTCCTAAGCTTATATACTTTAAAATATAGAAAATTGCCCAAGCCAAAATATGCCGTCAGCGGTAAGTCGTAGTTTGTGTTTCTTCCCCTATAGCCATTTTCACTTACGACCCGTGATTCCTGAGTGCCGCTAGCGTAAACTGCCGCTAGCGTATTGGGCTTCTCCTTTTGCACTTTTTTGTCTTTTCTGATTCATCCTTCTTTTCACTTCTTTCACAATTCACCTAAAACCTGCACAAAAACACTGAATCACATAACCTGTCCAACTCTCTTATTTCTGAAAATATGAAAAAGCATGATTTCAAGTGTTTCTAAGTGTAAAGGTTGCTTTTTAGTCAATTTTAAGCATGAAAATAACAGTTTTTCAACTGTTATCACAACCAAGATTGTGGCTTAACAAAAGATGTACAACTCTTCTACCAATTCATATGATGGTTCACTTTTTCAAAAATCTTCTTTCAAGATAAGAAAGACTTCAATCAAACTTTGCCAAGAGTTCAATCAAGGATGTGCACATGCTTTAGTGTTCACAAAGTCAAGTTTACAATCCAACAAATGCTATTTTTCCATGAATGATCAATCAATTAAGCATGGATGTTCATGTGCCATGGAATACTTCCTCCACAGGTAAGTGGTTTCACTTCACACACAAGTGTATTAAGAGGTAATCACTCATTCACTCTACTATCACAATGTCACATGAATCAACTTTGCCTTTCATTTAACCACAATCCAAAAACATTCACAAGCATGCATCATCAAAGACTTTTCAGGCTTATAGTGTGGCTGGGTTAATCAAGAAAATTGTTTTTCTGAATCACAAAATCCTTGAGTTAAGAGAATCATAACTAACACAAGTTATTCTTATTCTTCCCAACTTGCCTTTTGCATTGCTTGACCTTTGCTTTTTCTTTTTTTCTTTTTTCTTTCTCTTTTACTTTGATATTTTGCTCAATGCTTTTACTTTTTCATGTTTTCCCAACAACCCCAACTTGAACATTTAACAATACCACACAATATTTCTACTTAACTCAAGGTAAAGCTTTTCAACAAGGGTTTTTCAATTTATGTTCAGGCTAAGGGTTCAAAGGATAGAACACACAGTGTTCTTTAGTGGGCTAACTTTATGAATTTGGCCAAAAAAAGGGTTCCAACAAACGGCCTTGATCATATGATCAAACAAGCAATTGATTCAATCATAGAAACTTAGGCAAAATCATTCATGCTTCAAAGTAATAGCATTCAATCAATAAAAACTCTGGAGCTCAAAACCTCACATATAAGCTCATTCACATTTGACATACACATCCTGCTTAATCTCAAATCCACATCAAGATATCCTGCATTGTTCACAAGCTTGTTGAATCACCTTAAGCATTGTATGTGCACATCTATCTCAACATCAATCAATCATAATCATCATCAAGCATTATTATCACACATCACAGTTATAGCAAACCATCATAACAACCAGATTTCCAATAGAGTACATCAACCTCTAATCTAAAAACGAAATTAAATAAGTTCAGAACAACTGTAAAACCAACAAAAGCATAAGTTCATGATAGCATTCATCAGTAAAATGCTATCTCATCTCCTCATCAATCTGAGCTTGTCCTCTGTATCTTCCTCTTTCTCTCCTCATATCATCATCTTCAATGCATCACTCATCATCATTCCATTCTTCATCTCCTATCTGAACTTAAGAGCTTCGACTCCTCCTCCTTGCACCGGTCCTCTGGCCAAGCTACACATTATAGGAATTCCTCCTAGTCCACCTTTGGCTGGAGGTGTTCTACATCCCCCAATCATCTCAGCAGTAGCCACCTGCCCTCTATGATGGATTATACTGAGCACCTTAAGAAGACTGTACATGCCCTCATCTGAAGGTTTGCTTCATGTGTCCTCAGAGATTCTGGCTCTGTGATGCCGTCTCATCTCGAGCACGGCGTGGTGGTACCTGGCGGAGCTTGCCTCTACCTCCATAGTACTGTCGTATAATACGGCCCATCAATGAGCTTTTCTTGCTCTCAAATGGTGGAGATAGAGTGTCCACCCCAGCTATCATGTAAGGTGAAGGTGATTAAGGAGGGATGTCTAGGGGTGCTTTGGTTGTTTGAGGTATTATTGGCGCACACCACTATCTCATCAGCTCTGATGGAAGACCATCTAAGATGCACATTGGACCTCTTACTAGAGCCATGGCAAAGAGGATTCAAGAGGAAGAAGGACCACATACTATTTTGCTTCTATGGAAGGTTACTTATAAAAATCCTTCTTCTCTTAACTAAAGCATTTATACTTTGTTTTGTAGGAATTAATAAATCTTGGAGACTATGATTGAGCCATCCAAGAAGATAAATCAATAGATCAAGCAAAAGAGCCAAAAAGAGGTGCTTACGGCATGCACCAACATTTTCCACGTGAAATGGGCTGATGTGGAAGGAAGCACACACCTTGCTTGATGAGCTGGAAAGAGGCATGGACCTTGCTTGATCAAATTAAATCTGAACCATTTGAATTTAGGAGGGAATTAGAATTAGAAATTAGGCTCCTCTTCACCTATAAATAAGAGGGCCTTTTCCTTGTATTGATTCACTTTTGAGCTTAGTAAATTGCTGCTGAAATTCATTGCCAGCCTATTGCTCTTGAGTCACTAATTCTCTCTACTTTCTCTTCCCTTTCCTCTAGCTTCCTTCCATTGTAGGAAGGCCTTCTGAGCTGTGAGGTTCCCACACATACTTATTCCACTCAAATACACCAAAATCTCACCCAATTGCTACTGCATCCACTCTGCTGTATTTCATCCACTGCACCAATACTGTTTTTCATCCGCTGCATCTGTTTTGTTGCAAGGCCAGGTCATTCAAGCATGGATAAGCTTCCATCACTAGGTGAAGTCCTGGAGGTTGTGCAGGAAAAATCACACTTGTAATCGTTTACAATATCTTGGTAAACGATTACACGAACAAAATCTGAGTTTTTTACAAAAACTCGTTCTGTAGGACCCAATTGTGGTGGCCTAGGTGACCATTTTAAAAAGTTAATATTTTTTTAGCCTAAGTCTAGTGGTTCTGAGTGGATTTTGTTGTTGAACTGTGTTTAGAGTGTGGGAGGTAATGTATTGGGACCCCAGGATGATGGAAAGGAACAATGATTACGAGATGAGCATCCTAGGTGAAGTCCTGGAGGTTGTGCAGGAAAAATCACACTGGTAATCGTTTACAATATCTTGGTAAATGATTACACGAATAGGATCTGGATTTTGTACAGAAACTCGTTCTGCAGAACCCAACTGTGGTGGCCTAGGTGACCATTTTAAAAAGTTCATATTTTTTTAGCCTAAGTCTAGTGGTTCTGAGTGGATGTTGTTGTTGAACTGTGTTTAAAGTGTGGGAGGTTAGGTATTGGGACCCCAGGATGATGAAAAGGAACAATAATTACGAGATGAGCATCCTAGGTGGAGTCTTGGAGGTTGTGCATGAAAAGTCACACTGGTAATCGTTTACAATATCTTAGGGTCCCCAAACATCACCTCCCAAACTAAAATCACACTTAAACAACAAAATCACACCAAAACCATTCGATTTATTGCAAAAAATAAAAAAAATTACACTATGGTCATCTATGTTTGCACAGCTAGTTTCTGCTGTACAAGTTTCTGTACAAATCACACTATTTGCTCGTATAATCGTTTACGAAATAGTTGTAATCGATTACAAATGTGTTCTTTGCTGCAGACTTTCCAGTCTTTTGCTAACTGCATCATGTCATAAGCATTGTTTCATTCCTCCATCAAATACATGAATACTAAATCAAAGTTGACACTTTATTCATTAACAATTGAAACAAAACCTCATTTCACCATCACAAAAACAAAGGAAATTCAATTAATATTAATAATATGTAACGCAACCAAACATGCATATTCTATAACATTGAACAAAATATATTCCAAATTACAAACATTTGTTCATCTATGTACAATTTTGTATTACTTTCTCTTAACAAATGTATACAAATATCACTCATTTTTTATTCTAAGAAATCGAGTGTAAGGAGTGCTAAGCACTATGCTCTTGTAACGCATTCGTGACCCCATCCTCACATACGTCTTCATTGAAGGTGGATTGGTGGACATTCCTCCAGTAGAAAATAATCCACTGTTCATGCACGGTTCTTCACGTCGCACACTCTATCCACCGCCATCTTCATTTCTTCTTCTAGCTTTCTCTTCGGCCAACTCTGCCTCCAAGACAACAACCCTCCTTTTAAGTTCTGCAATTAGATTTTCTTGCTCGTCTAAAGCTCGCATAAAACTTTCTCTACGTTTTCTTTTTTGTAACTTCTTTGGTGTTGGTTGGTCATCTTTCATTTTTGGTTTTCGTTGGTCATCCTTCTCATCCTTGTTATCCTTCATTAAAGCACCAACATCAACATCATGATAAACTTGAAATTGAACAATACATATCATAGTATCAAAGTTCAGTGAATACATCATAACATACAATAGTCAAACAATAAACCACATACCACACCCGTCTCCATAACTCCTTTCACGAAGTTGTCTCCCAAATTTATATTCATCCAATGCAATATTCGTGGAAATTTCTCTATTCGACCTTTGGGAGGACTGAAATTCTCACAAAACCATACCTAAAAAAATGTTCATCTTATCATTTAGTCAAAAACACAAAGCAATCCACAACCCAAAAAAAATGGGACATTTTAAATCAATTAATCTAAATTACCTGCAGCATGTAAACACAACCATCAACATAAACGTTGCGTGTACCTTTTCCTTTCTTTAAAGAATCAGAAGCTTTACACAAATTACATACCAAATAGCAATACACTAAACTACCCTAACAATAATTTCCCAAACCACTTAAATTATCAACAATTTCAAACATTATGGGAAACACTCTTCCGCTATGGTGTGAAAATAATATCTCACATATCCCTACCAATATGTACAAGCTACAAAAATGAGAAGGAGGTATCTTTGTTTTATGTTTTCTCATCAAACATTTGTATACCAAATTCAAATATTTTGTTCCGTTGCCTATGTATTTCACACATGTACTTCTTCCCATTTCTTCCTTTAAGTTAATATTTTGACCATCTGAACTCAACCCCAAACCTAAACAAAATTCCTTCTCATTCATAGAAACAAGTTTATCTCCAATTAAAAAACCACTACTGGAATCCACCCATTTAACCAATAACTCACTCAAAATATTCCTACCTACTTTAACTTTACCACAAAAATCTAAAAACCACCGAAAAGGAGTCTCTACAATCAGTGACTGGTGCTCCTCTGACAAACACTCGTTCAAAGTAGAAATATACTTTGTATAAAATGAGTGACTAACCCTCAACTGCATCAACGACAAACAAAATAAACAAAACATATAAGTCCTAAAACAATAACCACAAAAAATTTCACATAACAGGGAAAACCCAAAATCGAAACCGAAAACGCAATGAACAAAATGGAGGAAGAATGCATTTACTTTGCTCGTCGAAGGACCATGGTTACCGGAACTTGCCATCTCGCAAAATACACTAAACAAAGAGAATGACTTTCACCAAAGCGAAGAGATGGAGCGAAAACGTACGACGAGAGCGACAACGGAGACCGCCACAACGAAAACATACACCGAAAACGAAAAAGGAGAGGTACAACGAAGATGGTGGATGACAAGGAAGAAAGAGAACAATGATTTCTAATGAAACAAGGCAAGGCTATATTTTGAATCCCAAATTTCTTAAACATTCATCAATTTCGACGTCATAATTTCAGAATAAAAGAAAAACAAATTTGGACAAATCAGCTGGTGACACCTGGCGTTGTCAAAACCGTGTTAAAATTTTGGTGTTAAAATATCGGGACCCTATATTTATTTGTATTCTTTAATTGTTTAACAATTTTATAATTATCTCCAACGTTTTTGCGAAAGTTTTTGCATTGTAAAATTTATTTTACTAATATCCAAACGAGAGATTCGGGAAAGTTTCAATTTTTGAAGTTCAATTTCCTTAAGTTTTAGTTTCCATTAAATCCATAAATGAATCCTCTAGACAAAAATCCTCTAAACATGAATTTCTGGCAATGCACACCACACCAAGTTAATACCCAGGCTATGCCACTTCAAAGGAGGTGGAGAGTTCTTTCTCGCTCGAGTTGATAGAATTCCATGATCCTGCCACAGTTAAGTAACATTGACTGATTTTGGCATTCCATTCTTGGTAATATCAGATAATAGTGGAAATGACACACTTGTTAGGGAACAAAATCCAGAACCATTCGATATATATATGAAGTTGGATCCATCAAAAGTTTAAATCCCTCATTATGGTTGCATTATTTGATGAATTAAACAAGCCCACCTATGAAAAAAAATGACTGATCGGTTTTTTGTTAGACGCAGATCGTTCAAATCATATATCATTGAAATTGTACAAAGAAATGTCAAACAAACTTAAAACACTCTTATAATTTATGATGTTATTAGGGTTATAAAACTAATACTACTGGGGAAATTTTCTAAAGATGCCTTTACAGGAAGCATACATATGCTTAAGCTCTTCCACTTTGCTTTTTAGTCCTGATGTCGCTTGTTGAGACAACAGACCCAAAAATCTTGTTAACCACATACAACAATCCAGCCGAGAACAAGAAACTGCATTTGTGCAAATATGAGGAACATCACCAACGAGTTCATATGAAAATATGAAATGATGCATTTTAATGGTTTTTAAGTACTTAAGGATCCACAACTAGCCATTATGTTGTTGTCTTTTGGATATGATTTCCTCTTTACAAGCCAGACCACGATAATGACAATACTTTGCTACACTAGGCCATCATTAATTGCTAATCTATTCTTGATAAGAATCCTTTTTGTTTCATTAAAAAAGGTATACCCTCTGAAATAGAAACATCCTTATAATTTTTTGCAATTTGCAAGCATATATTAAGCAGCTAAAACTAATGCACTCACTCACGAAAGTGGTAAAATATGAAAAGCGATTTTCTCGAAATATGTTAAATAGAACGTGCACACTTCTGTTTAAGTAGTTGATCTATCTGTTCTTAATAAAAAAAAAAGGCGTCAGGCACCAATAAGTTGTTGAGGTCATATGATTGATTAACTAGGCCTTAAGAAGGTTTGACAGCAATGTTATACTCAATTATCAACAATTTGATTATTCTAAGACAAGAGGTATGATTGCCTTTTGAATGTATGCCCGCCTCATACTCTATTAAATATATCACATACTGCACCTCTCTCAGTGAGGTTCTCATTCATTCATAAGGCAAAAGAGGATTGAGAGGAGCATACCATGTAGCATACTAAAAAAATTAAAAAAAAAACATCCAAGCCTGAACAGATGTCGCATATCTGTTGACAGATATCAACATCCGTTTTAGGCTCAAACGGATATGTGACATCCGTTCGTGGCCTGTTATCTTCTTTCTCCTCCTCTGCACACACGCACACACAGAGAAATCAGAAGAGCACACAAAGAAATCACAGAGCAGAGAGAAAACCCAAAACAGCATCATCAAGCACACAACAAAGAACAAACTAACCTCTCGTAGACTCAAGTCGCGAAGCACCACTGACCACCGCACACACAGTCACACTGTCTCACCGCCGCATCCCCGAATGATCACCGCAAACACCCGTACCGCCGCACCACGAAACCCAAACGAAGATGGAGACAGGAAACAAACGAACAAATATGGAAGATAAATAACGGATCTGAGAGTTTGACAGGGTGGGAATGAATCTGAGAGTTGGAGGGAAACGGATCTGAGATGGAGGGGATGAAAATTTGGAAAGAGAGAAAAGAGAAAGTGAGAAGGGGGTGGGCTGCGCATTTTAGGGTTTCAAAAGAGTAAATAAATAGGGTTAAAAAGTAAAAAAGGTTAATTTTGTAATTAAATTTTTTTATAGAAAGTTGGGGAGGTGGAGGGAGCAAAGGTGGTGGTGGAGGGAGCAACACCCTCTATCCAATGTGGGACTTGGGCTCACACTTGCATTCTTAATAAATATGAGGGTTAATCCCTTCATCACCACACAGTACTTCCTGCACTTCCCCATTCCTCTTTTGCCCTTCCATATTTAATGTGGTGGTTAAAAATTTCAACTTTCTCCAACATCCAACCACTTCATTAGTTGTTCCCACCAATATATGAATGCACCCCCACATTCCTAAGAAATCAAATTCCTCTTCTTTTCCTTTTTCATGTAAGTGTTCTTCTTTAAAAATAAAACAATTCAAAACAAAATCAATTAACTTTAATTAAATTAATAATAATTAATTCATTAAATAAAACAAAATTAATTTAATTATAAATACATAATTTACTTAAAATATGATTATAATTAAAATATAATTACTTAACTTTAAAAGTATCTAAAAATTAATTTACAAATCAATAAATTAATAAACTAAAAGTAAAAAAATAAAATAAATAAAAGAATTCGTTCAGCTTTCCATGCTTTCTTTTTATATTTTTACAAACACTTGATTTATAAATAAATAATACTATAGAAAATATTAAATTAAAATAAATGTACAAAAATTAACAAGCTAAATAAAATTAAATTAATAACCTAAAAAAAGAAAACAAAACACTAAGGCCTCAACGAATATGGGAGATCCATTAGACCTTCAACGGAGGAAAACACCCAAAACATTGAAATGTTTCAATGGATATGTGACATCCGTTGAACCTTCAACGGATCTTGAGATCCATCCACGAATATCGAGTTCCGTTGAAGGCTCAACGGATGTCCCAAATCCGTTGTAGCCTTTGGCATTTTTGTTCTTCTTCGTTTAACATAGAACATAGGCACATATAGAATCATTAACTTGGATCAGAGACAACAACAAAGGAATCACCAAACTTCACAACACCATGAACCTATCATGAATCAAGCAACAACACGAACCCACCACCAACCAAGCACCAACATGAACCAAGCAAAGGAGAAGAGAACCTTGACGGAAATAGTAAATTGGGGAAAGAGAAAGAGGAGAATAAGAGAGGAAGAGAGAAAGTAAGAGTGTGGGGGTAGGGGTGCGGTGTGCGGTGTGCGGTGTGCGACTGAGTGAATAAGAGAATAAAAATTAGAATTTTAAGAAAAAGTTATAAAAGTAAAGGATTAAAGTAAATAAGAGTATTTTTGGAATTAAAAAAATTGGAAATGTGTAGGGAGTGTAGGATGGTGAAGGGAGTAACACTCAATGAATATATATATATA